CCAAGGAAAATATAATCGAACATCTATAACTTACAGCACAAAAATATCCAGCAAAGAACTAGACGGCAAACCTGATTTCGCACGCGAAGCCGGAGAGTCTGCAGTGGGAGCTGGTCGATTTTGGAAACGGCGTGAGGAAGAAAGGGCAAAGCGGAAGACCATGGGAAAGAGGAATAGGGTTCCAGCCGATTTCACTTGTTTCTGAACAGTACCGCGTTTTGGCGTTTTTGGCCGTGTTTTGGTTGAAAATTCTGAAAACGTGGAAAACCTCGTTTTCCATTTTCTTTGAAAAAAAATTAGCCGTTTTCGAAAACTTGTTTTCAGAAATGGAAAAGAGAACGCGTTTTTGCCGTTTCGAAAAATTGAAAACAGAAAACGGGTTGAAAACGGGAAAGAGAACAGGGCCTTAATTTTCGAGTTCTAAGTTTGTATTTTCTTTTTNAATGGAAAAGAGAACGCGTTTTCGCCGTTTCGAAAAATTGAAAACAGAAAACGGGTTGAAAACGGGAAAGAGAACAGGGCCTAAGAGCCTATAACTTTCCACACTCCAAAGGCTTTTCTTATGCATAGAATGAATGACTGTACAAACAATAATATCAGCCATCCAATATTGTATCAGCAGTAAACATGAGACATAGTGATTACATGAGATCCAAAATTATAATGGACTAGGATTCATCAAATAGAAAATTCTTTTTTGACTTGTATTTAATAGAAAGCTGATGTGCTCCCCTTGCTAAACAATTTAGGCTTCCCAGAAGTTTCTTCGCAACCCAGCAGTATCACTTCTTTAGGTACTGAATCGTCACTGTTCAATAGTTAAATCTTGACGTATCTAGAAGCCAGTACATGGTGATCTCCTGCTGCTTGAAATATCGACGGTCCTCTTCATGAACAAGAACAAGGTTTAAATAGTATTTCACTCTAAAATTGTTATTGATGTTTTGAGATGTTTGTGTGAGCCCATATGGGCTCAGAAACAGTCTGATTGGCATTGATTCACCTGTGATGCCAACGAGCATTGCATAAAATGTCATCATTCATCAAATTAGCACACATATATACTAAGAAATTGGTTGTACGGAACACAATTTACGCTAACTTTTTTGACTACTCAGTGAGTGAACAAACAAATCCCAAACCAAGCTACCATCTCAAGGGGGAAAGGGAAGAGGAAGCAAATTGCTTATACTAAAAGAGGCAAATAAAAATTCTTAAACTCTGACTGGAGCATCATCCATCAGCTCAAACGTGGCAAGTGTCTCTGTCTCGACATGGGTGTTCGCCCCTGAACCAGTTGATTGACGGCGTCTGATTTCAAGATCCATATTCTTCAACTTGATTCTTACTAGTAGAAAATATATTTTGCCAACAACATCTTTGAGATGATACCTGGATATTATAATTCAATCAGCAGGGCCTATAACAAATTCATGTCTGTAGAAAAGTAATTAGCTTCACAAAAACCAGAAGGATTATTTGATGAAATACAGGGCACTCACAGATAAGCAGAGGAAAATTTAGTGGATTGATCAAGAAAAAACAGAAATTTGACAATTGAACCACTAAAGACCCATCCATCTATTTATAGTGGCCAAGAAGCTTAGTTGTTCTCTTTGTGTTTCAGTTTTGTATTTTGAGTTTTGAATTCATTTTGTATTTTGTGTTTTAAGTGTCTATTTTGAAATTTCTGAAAATGCGTTCTTTTTGTCATTTTGAAAAACTATTTCTGAAAACATAAAAATGGAAAACGCGTTTACTTTAAAATTTTGAGAATTTTTTTTTTATAATATTTTATTCAAAAAATCTGATTATTCAATAAATTTTAATAGTTTAATGTTAATATAGTATTAATTAATAATGTTAATTTTGAAGTTGTTAGATTTTGAAATATTTTTTCCA